TATAATGTACCTAGAGTACTCAGATTCCTAGAGGCAGAGGGTTGAATGATGGTTGCCAGGAGCTGGGGGTGGGGGTGGTAGGGACCAGGGGAGAAATGGAGAGTTGTTTTGTTAGTACAAAGTTTTGATTTTGCAAGATGAAAAGTTCTAAAGATCGGTTGCCCAACAATGTGAATATACTTAACAATACTGAACTGTACGCTTAGGAATGGTCAAGATAGTTAAGTGTTATGTGTATTTCACCACAATTAAAATTTTAAAAAAATTTAAAGCAACTATAATTAATATTTTGAGAGGAACAGGAGATAATATGTCCATGAACAGGAATAGGATGCTATAAAAAAGAACAAGAAATTGCTCTTAGAAGTGAAAAATTATGAGAAGAGACATACAAAAAAAAATCCAAAGAGAAAAGTTGGAAGATAAAGTTGAGGTAATGTCCCAGAAAACAGAACAAACATTTTTTAAAATGGAAAATTGGAAAGAACATTTTGAAAAATTACAGAATCAATCCAAGAAGCCCAACATCCAACTAAAATAGAAAAAAAAAAAAAAACAGAAATGAAATGGAGGGAATCAACACAAAGAAGTGTCCCCAAAACTGATTTTCAGATTAGGAGATTGATTTCCAGACTGAAAGGTTCACCAAGAAGTGCCCGTAGTAAATGCACATCATTTGAAACTTTAGACCTCTGAGAGATCCTAAAAACTTTCAGAGAGAAAAAATCAAGTCACACACGCCCAGGATCGGGTATCAGAATGTCGCTTGACTCTTCAACAGCAACCATGGGTCAACTCCTCAAAATCCTGAGGGAAATTTATTTCCAATCTAGAACTCTACACCCAGCAGAACTAGCAATCAAAGCTACTGGAATACATGCTCTGCCAAAACCAGGAAATAAACCCTGTTTGGGAGCAGGGGTTGGGGGGGAGGCAGAAAGCAAGGGAACCAGAAAACAGGATCCAACACAGGAAAGAATCAAAGGAAATTTCCAGGGTGGTAGTAAAACAAGGTCCCAGGACAATGGCTCTACAGGTCTGTAGGGTAAGCAGTCCAGGTTGGAGCTCAGGGAGGATGCCTCAGGAGGGGTGTCTCTAAGAAACACAGAGACCTGAAGGACCACCTGGTGTGTTCAACCAGGTAGAGAGACATTTTATGGCACCGCTGGACAGTTGGGGAATGAATTAGTGATGGGTACATAAGGAAGTTTTTTTTTGTTTTGTTTTTGTTTTTTAATAAGGTGATTAAATACCTCTAGAAAAGCAAAAATGTTGTCCAGTAAGGAAAAATGAAATCATAACACACTTCAAGGCTCAGCTATGAACAATAGTTACGTAGTCACAATACTTGAACACTGAATACTGATGCCACAGCAACAAAATGATATAACTAAACTGAGAGGAATGAAGAGAAAATAATATGTGGGATGCGGGTAGATGAAAGGGCATTAAATCTTCACCTTCCATAGAAGAGAGGCAATAGATAAAGTTTCAAAAAGTGGAAAATCTGAATTAGGTGTGTTATTTAAAAATAAGGAGGGGGCTTCCCTGGTGGCGCAGTGGTTGATAGTCTGCCTGCCGATGCAGGGGACACAGGTTCGTGCCCCGGTCCGGGAAGATCCCACATGCCGCGGAGCGGCTAGGCTCGTGAGCTATGGCCGCTGAGCCTGCGCATCCGGAGCCTGTGCTCTGCAACGGGAGAGGCCACGACAGTGAGAGGCCCGCATACAGAAAATAAATAAATAAATAAGGAGGCATATGACAGAAGTGCCATCTAAAATGCATGAAAGAGGGGTTGTCTTTGGAAGTGAGACTTGAGACTGGGGAAAGGATGGGGTAGGGGACTGATTTTTTAATTACACGTCTACTATAAGGCAGTTATATGACTTTTTCAACTAATACCAGTATAAATATGCTAGAGCTAAAAATTAAATTGAAAAAAGAAAAAAAAAATCCAACTACATGCCAGTCTATGAAGCAGTGATGATACTGCTCTGGTACAAAGCTGGGAGCTCCTACCATGGACGGGAGAGAAGGGAAGGAAGACTTAAGGGAGGGGACAGCCTTGAGCTCTGCCCGGATGAATGGGACCAGGCCAGCCTCTCCAGTCTTCTGAATAGAAAGGACAGTGGGAGCTCTAGGGCAGCTGAACCCTTCCAAGGAACAAGTTTAGAGGAAGAGGATCCGAAGGCAGGACACCAGGCCCGAGGGTGTCAGGAGGAGCCCCTGAAGGGAGGAGTGGTCCCAGAGCCGGTGCCAGAGGGAGGAAATCCCTGCAACGGAGGCCAAGGTGAGTTGTCCACAAGGTAACAAAATGGCTAACGATGTCAAATGCTGCTTTGTGGTCCAGAGGACTTAACATAAACACACCCTTGCAGGACTTCCCTGGTGGTCCGGTGGTTAAGACTCTGCACTTCCACTGCAGGGGCACAGGTTCCCCTTAGTCAGGGAACTAAGATCCCATATGCCGCGTGGCCAAAAATCAAAATCAAAAACAAACAAACAAACAAAACAGACCCTTGCACACTGTGATCTCAACGCAGTCCCGGGTAACCCTCCCCACGCCCACCCCCCATCAGGATATTCCAAAAGCAGTGGGAACAGAACAGAAGCAGGACTAGGTGAGCAAGCCTACACTAGGCTCCCAAGTGCAGCGCCCCACTCCTCCTGTTCTCTGAGAGTCAGGAGGCTTAGTTACCGGGTCGAACGCAGGCAATGCTTGGGACACACTTATACTAAAGAAATGGTCATTTAGCTGAAATTCAAACTTAACTGGGCTTCCCGTGTCATGATACATTAACTCTAGCAACCCCAGGAGACTACGCCTTCCCAAAAGCTTGGAAATATCTCAGCCTTGCAAGCGGAAACTTTGCTACTGGCTGCTCCCACCAGCCTCCTGATGCTTGTGGGGAAGAGGACCCCGAGGCAGTGAGGTCCAGTGGGTGGATCCTTGTGCCTCTCAGAGCCTGTCCTCTTATGGAGAAATAAGGCCATGGCTATGGCGTGGGGACAGTAGGAGACCTCCATGTCCTTCTGGAGTGATTTTTTTTACCACAAGCATGGATTACTTTTATAATCAGCAACAAGCCATAAAGACATTTTCACCTTAAAAATAAAATAAAATGAGGCTGCAGTGGACCAGGTAATCTCTGAGGCCCCCACTGAAGCTAAGATTCTGCAATTCCAAGTAATTTCCTATTCTTTATTTGCATGTCATTTTAGGAGCATTCAGTGAGGCAGCCTTGTGAGGGGGAGGGTTGCTTTTATCCCCCCACCCCCCTACCAGGGATTCTGAGCCCAACTGGCTGGCCTGGGGCGAATGTGGCCAGGCTGTCCCCACTCTGGGAGGTCACCTGGCTTGGCCTGGCCTAGCCCAAGCCTCTGGGCTCATTCCTGACCTGGAAGACTCCCCGAATGACCTGTTCTGAAGCCACCGAAAGGGCTTGGGTGTTGGCTCTGTAGGAGACTCCTGGGCCCCAATCAGAGCAGTTCTGAGATTCTAGGGAGCTTGTGATTTAACAAATCCTGAAAGGGGCAGATGTGTCCCCATACCCAGGGACAAGTGTCTCTTTGCCAGTACACTAGGACCCCTCCCTAGTAAGAGGCCCCACTGGAAGGTCTCAGGGGAGGGTGGGAAACGTCCCATCCATATGCAGCATATGGTGGACTCACAGAAGAGTGAGGGCCCTGTTGTGGGTCACCCGAGCCTGAGTGGAGCCCCAGTTCCATCTCCTGTCAGCCCTGCGACCTTGGGCAAGTCGCTTAACTGAGAGCCTAGGTAGTCCTGCGATAATGACATAATGAGTGCAAACCCCCGGAGGTGGCGGCCCGGAGCAGGAGAGGTGATCACAAACAGTAGCGGCATCTGTTTAATCCCGGGAGAGTCAGAGGCTGCCCTTTGGCCAAAGGAGCTTTTGATCTGCAATTCCCACAGACCCAGGACCACTCTGGAAGGTTCCCCACCCTCAGAGAGTACCCTCCCGGCTTTAGTCCAGGCGAGGGCCACTACCGGCCGCTGGAGCTGTGACTGGTCTCCCAGCTCAGGCGCAGGAGCCTGGCCCACGACCTTGGAAGAACCTGGGAGAAAGCTTCACCAAGCGACAGTACTTTTCCATTGCACTGCTCGGCCGCCTCATCTGGCTTTCTGCTGCGCAGACAAGAGGCAAAGTGAGCCAGGCCGGCCCATCAGGAACCCACCCGAACTCACCCTCAGAGATGCGGGTAGGGAATGTGAGGGGCAATGGGAATCCTAGAAAGAGGAGGGGGATACCGAAAGCTCCAGGAGGAGCTTAGAGACCACCAGTGAGACCTGAGAAACTTGCGTTGGCAAAGCCCTCCGGTGGATTTCAGGCGATTCCTACCTCCACCCCTTCCCCTCCGACGATAATGATTAAACCCGATCCACCGCGCCTGTGCTGGGTCTCCGGCGAAGAGCACTGCTAGCCTGCGCAGGGGAGGAGAGAGAGGGAGGCGAGAGGAGGGGACAAGAGAGCTAGCGGTCCCGCCCGGTGATGTAGGCAGCCCAGGGAGGTGGAGTCGCGACGCGTGAAGGAGTCCCCACCGCAGTCGCGCTCTCTCGGTCTACCCCTCCGAGCAGCCAGCCGCCAGCCCCGGCTCCGGCGACCTCCCTGCCGCCGCAATTTGGGCGGCGGGGGCCGTGGGATCCCCCCTATTCGTGCCTGGGGGGCGTCTCCTCCCCGCCCAGCCCCTACCCCTCCTTGCTTCCCGGACGGCTGGAGCGACTCACGGGGGACGCTGTTCCCGGACGCTCGGCCGCCGCCCGGGCATCTCGGCTGCCAGCCCGGCTGGGCACCAGGCATCTGCGAAGCTAGCTAGCCCTGCCTGGCACTGGGCATCTCTGGGCACCGACTGTCTCCGGCGCCGCCCAGCTTCTCGAAAGCCCGGGGCCGCGGGCTTCTGCGCGCCCTCCCTTCCCCCCGGCCGCCGGGCAGGACGCCCGTGAGCTCGCGGCGTCCCCAGCCCCTCTGGCCGCCGCCGCGATGCTGCCCTGGAGACGTAACAAATTCGTGCTGGTGGAGGACGAGGCCAAGTGCAAGGCGAAGAGCCTGAGCCCGGGGCTCGCCTACACGTCGCTGCTCTCCAGCTTCCTGCGCTCCTGCCCGGACCTGCTGCCCGACTGGCCGCTGGAGCGCCTGGGCCGCGTGTTCCGCAGCCGGCGCCAGAAAGTGGAGCTCAACAAGGAGGACCCGACCTACACCGTGTGGTACCTGGGCAACGCCGTCACCCTGCACGCCAAGGGCGACGGCTGCACCGACGACGCCGTGGGCAAGATCTGGGCGCGCTGCGGACCGGGCGGGGGCACCAAGATGAAGCTGACGCTAGGGCCGCACGGCATCCGCATGCAGCCGTGCGAGCGCAGCGGCTCTGGGGGCTCGGGGGGCCGCAGACCGGCGCACGCCTACCAGCTGCCGCGCATCACCTACTGCACGGCGGACGGGCGCCACCCGCGCGTCTTCGCCTGGGTCTACCGCCACCAGGCGCGCCACAAGGCCGTGGTGCTGCGCTGCCACGCCGTGCTGCTGGCGCGGGCGCACAAGGCGCGCGCCCTGGCCCGCGTGCTCCGCCAGACCGCGCTGGCGGCTTTCAGCGACTTCAAGCGCCTGCAGCGCCAGAGCGACGCGCGCCACGTGCGCCAGCAGCACCTCCTCGCGGGGGGCGCCGCCGCCTCGGTGCCCCGCGCCCCGCTGCGCCGGCTGCTCAACGCCAAGTGCGCCTACCGGCCGCCGGCCGCCGAGCGCGGCCGCGGGGCGCCGCGCCTCAGCAGCATCCAGGAGGAGGACGAGGACCAGGACGAGGAGGCGGAGGAGCTCGAGGAAGGAGCCCCCCAGAGCGAGCGGCCCGAGGTGCTCAGCCTGGCCCGGGAGCTGAGGACGTGCAGCCTGCGGGGCGCCCCGGCGCCTCCGCCGCCCTCTCAGCCTCGCCGCTGGAAGGCCGGCCACCGGGAGCGGGCGGGCCAGGCGCGCTGAGAGCCGAAGGGACAGGACTTGGCGGCCCCAGACCCGGCCAGCCTGACTTACAGCCTCTAACCCCGGCCCTGCCCGCTAAGGCTCCCCCTGGTACCCCGGCCCTTGCCTCCCTCGTGGTCTCTGTTGTCCGCGCGAGCCTCATCCTGGCTCATGGTGACGCCTGACACGCCCTGTGTTGGGGAACCAGATGGGGGAGCAGCAGAATTCAGTGCTCACCTCTCCCCCCACCTGAGTCTCCCGGAGCCCTCCACTGTGGATTTGCCCCCTACGCTTCCCACCAAGTCTCTTTACCCATAGACCACGCCCTCCCTCCCCAAACATCCTCTCAAGAGAAGGGGGGGAGACGTTTCCAGAAATCCAGGAGGGTGGCCTTGGATCTTGGCCAGGTGGAGGCAGTGGTCCTGCCCTTAACCAGGCTAGGCTTCCTCCCTGGGATGAGACCAACCCTGGGGAGGCATTCTTGTAGGGGGAAGAGTAAGTAGCCCTGGAGAACTGAGGCCAGGCCCAAAGCGGCAACTGAGTTGGCTGCCATACACACAAGGAAGACTTCTCTATACGTGGCCTCTCCACCCCTTGGAGGACTTCTGGGACTTCACTGCTCTGGCTCTGGAGAAGGCTGGGATGTTCCCACCAACCCCAACCACAGGCTAGGCCAGGTAACAGCTCTCTGCACCAGATGGCTGTCCAATCCTGTGCCCTGGCACCTGCCACCCCCCACAGGACTCCTCACCCACCCCATCTTTCTGCATACCGATGTGTGTGGTTCCCCCCTAGGTGCCCCACAACCAGGACCAAGATGAGGCCTCCAGAGGAGGGAAGGAGGACCTCTGGCAGTGCTTGAGCACACTGACTACCCAGAAAATGGACACAGGAGGGATGCCCCCAAGTTGAGGTTTGTCAGAGCACGAGGGTCCTGACAGCAGCTGGATTCTCATAGCAGGATGAGGCAGGAGGATGCGGTAACCCAACAGAGAGAGCAGGCCCCTGCCCACGTGTCTCTCAGCAAGGCCACTAAAAGCCCAAAGATCTATGTGTCACCAAATGATCACTGTAAATAAAGTGTTCCTGCTTTTTCAGCCTGTCACCACTCCTGTGTTGTGTTTGATGCCAGGCCTGCTGGGGGTGAAAAGATTATCATCAGAACCTTAAAGGGCAGGAGAAGACCCCAGGAAGTATGCTCTTTAGCAGCTGGAGCCAACTCTCAGGATAGAGGGGGACGAAGGGGCTGCTGCCAGGAAGCTGTTCCCCTTCATGTCGGGAAAGGAAACAGTAGCAGGTGCCTCGCCTGCACGTCACCTGTGCCAAGCCTGGAAGGGGTGTCAGCTGTCTTTCTCGGCGTCCCAGAATGTCTCTCTGCCTGGGCACCAAACACAAGTGTCTCTGGGACATTTGGCAGGGAGGGGGCACTGGGCTGGGGCCTTCTCATCAGCCATGTATCTTTGAGAAGATTCATGTGTATGTATGTCAAAGCAGGTGGTATTTGCTGGGTCTCCTCAAGGATGTAAGGGAGAGGGGTGGGCAACCCAATTTGCTTTCAGAGGAGCTGGAGAGATCTGTCCAGACCATTATAACAGCAGGAGTCCTGAGCTTGGATATCTTCTTTACTTCTGTGCTGAGCTGGGCACTGATCCCAGAGTTGTCCAGAGCCCAGACGAGTGGCCTCTGCAATCACCAGCAATCAGGATTGTTCTGTTTCCTGGAGCTGCTGGAACAGAGGGTACCACTGCTGCTTCACCCTGGAGGAACCCAGGCAGGGCTGGGGGAGACTCTGAAGGGGAAAGCTGGGCTTGACTTCACATGTTTTGGGGGTGACAGGGATTCCCTGCATGTTCATTGCTTCCCTCTTATGCATTGCCAGGGGATTTGTTGGTGTTTCTCCCCATATACGGAAGGAGAGAAGGAAGTGGGAAAATGTCAGCCGCGGGAGAGGAGGATGGGCTGCAAGGCAGCCTCTGGGGTTAGAGACAACCTCACCCAGAAACAAGGTCACAAGCACACCCTCTTTAATCAGATGCTTGCAGCAGAAATTTACTAAATGCCTGCCTTGGGACAGGCACTAAGCTAAGTCCTAGCGGTCCAGGAGTCCCTTCCCTGTGGCTCTTATATTCTCAAGTGAAATGCGTATAATTAAAGGAACACTTGCAATATAATAATTCACATGCATGCTCCCAGCCTTAGCCTCTGCTCCTCCACTCTTCTCTGGCAGCCTCCCAAAACATAGACACACACACACACACACACACACACACACACACCACACACCACACACACACACCACACACACACCACACACACCACACACACCACACACACACACCACACACACACACC